TTCTGGAATATGAGAAGAAAAGAAAGAGCAGAAGAAGAGAAGAAAGAAAGAAGAGAAGGGAGAGGGGCATGGGAGAAGGTAGGAGAAGAAAAGAAAGGGAAAGAATGGGAAGAGGAGGGGGAGAAATGCTAAATCAGCCTTAACACAACTGCAGTCTGCTCTGATGGCCCTCATTTTACAAAGAAGTGGCATCCACCTGTGTCTAGCATGGTGCTCAGGACAGCAGCCTGCAGCGCAGCACAGGGGTACTCTAGTACCCCTAGTACGGCCTAGTCCGTGGGGGGTGATGGCCCAGTGGATCCCCTACATGACAAGGGGTGACATCGCCGCAGGAAGTATGGGAAGAGGTCTATGCAGAAGACCTGGCAGCACCACCACACTCCTTCCCAGGAAGAGGCCCAAGAGAGCCTCAGGCCTCGCCGTTCTGTGTAAGCCTGGGGTGCTGTTGGGGGCAGTGGCCAGGTCTCAGGCTGCCCCCAAACTGTCACCTTCCTCTAGCCCATCTGGCCACCCACAGGGAGGGTCAGCTCTCTACCACCTTCCTGCCTTGGTCCAAGTCAGGAAAACACTGTGATTATTAATAAACAAGGACTGCTTTCTAGGGCTTACTCTGCACCCAGCACCATGCTGCCACTTCCCGGGCACTGCCTCATTTAGTGTGTGGAGCACTGTCATTGTTCACAGCGAGACCTGAGGCTCTGGACTTTGAAGCACTGACTACCCAAGCTCACACAACTTGGCAGTGGAGCCCTAAGCACACAACTGACCCCACAGCACAGGGCCCCGCCTTTGCCATCACCTGCCCAGAGGCTGTCGTGGGCACTTCCTGGGCACAACGCCTGCTAGGCACAACTCCACAGGTCTCCGTCTTTATCCTTACATGTGCCTGGTCCAGAGTCTTCTGATCTGAGATGCAGAGACTGAGTTGGTGACACCTGTGGGGGTGGCTGACTGTCTCCATTGAGCTACCCAGAGATGTGGACCTCGTCCACCCACCCTGGCACAGACCCAGAGCAGGCAGCATGGGCCCCAGGACATGGTCCTTCTCAGGGCTCCTCTAGGCCACATTTCTCCCACAGCTCATGGCTTCCCTCCTGCCCTCCTACACTGGGTGGGGCCCAGCCCAGATCTCGCTGCTTCCAAAGCCTAGGTCTACCGTCAACTTCCACGTAGTCCTAGGGTCAGGAAAGTCCAAGAGGCCTCCTGGGAATGTGTCACCTTCCAACGTGGAGTCATACTGAGGAGGAGGCGGAGAGGGCATCTCAGAAGAGCCTTAAATGCCTGGCTGCTCTGGCCTGCAGTCAGTTCGCACAGCGGTCCAGGTGAACCAAGGACCTGTCCTCTGTGGACACCAGGAGAGACCCAGAGTGCCTGAAGCTTCTCCGGCCCAGCTGGGAACTCAAGATGTTCCTGAAGGCCATGGTCGTGGGCCTGGCCCTGGTGGTTGTCACCAGTGAGTAGAAGCCATCTTTGGATGGGGTCTCGGGTACTGCAGTGTGCATGCAGGGTGGAGAGAGCAGGCCAAGGCCAGCAGGAGCTTCAGAATACCTGTCAGCCCTGGGTTGGCCACAGGGACCATCTAGTTGCTGCATGGCCAGCAGGAGAGCGGGCGAGTGCCCAGTAGTGGTGGGCGGGCCCGCTAGCATTGCTGCTACCAGGCTAAGCCCAGGGAGAGCAAGCGGGCTGGGCTCCCTGGCTGTCCTCCAGTCTGCACCCCAGAGCTGGAGTTGAGCATGCAGGGAAGAGACTGGTGTGCCTGAAGTGCTTTCTGCTCCCTGCCCAGGTGCCCAGGAAGAGGTCAGCGCTGACCAGGTGGCTACTGTGATATGGGACTACTTCAGCCAGCTGAGCAACAATGCCAAGGAGGCTGTGGAACATCTGCAGAAGTCAGAAATCAGCCAGCAGCTCAAGTAAGGGGGTGCGGTGGCACAGCTGCCAGAACAGGGCACCGGTGAAGGAGAGCACAGAGGCAGGGCTTCACGCTTAGGGCTCTCACTGCCCTGCCATGACTGGGGATCCTGGGCTCTCTGGCTCCACATGAAAACAGGGAGCTTGTGCCACAGAACCTCGAAGGCACCTTCCTGCTTTAATGTTCTGGAGTTTGACAGATGGCCACATCCCATCATTGAGGCTCCTCAAAGAAAAGGAAAGAGGCCCATGTCCTACAGGCTGGCGTCTAAAGTATTGCAAAAGCAGGCTGCCATCACCTGAGGAATGGTTGAAAAAGATGTGGTATTTTTACACAATGGAGTATTACTCAGCTATTAAGAATGATAAACTCCAAGCCTTTATATTGAAGTGGATGCCATTTGAACATATACTCATAAGTGAAATAAACCGGACACACATGCGTAAATATC